TGGGGGTCGTTAATCCGATAATAATCTGGCGACACTTGACTAGCAAGCAAATGTTCTCCTCTCCAGTCACCATTTGGGACCATCTGCAAGCGCCACGAGTACTCATTTCTGTGATAGTACCAAACATAATTGCACATGATACTAAACTGACAAAGACAATGCATTTGACGTGGAGTGTTTTTAAAAACTGAATCAAAATCCATGCTGTGATTTCTTGCAAGGACCTCTCTCATTTCTATCATATGCTCCGTTTTTATCATAACAGGGAAAGTTGACATGCATTGCATAACTTCTTTTTTGCCGAGAAACAACTCTGTTGTTTCAGCCCAACATTGGTACGGAACTTGGCCAATTTTTGCAATAATAATTGGTTTTCCATTGTCAAATAACAACTGTGGTGTTACTAAGGTGCTAAAAAATGTATCAGTATCGACATACCCCACATAAGATACATTGGTACATTTATCGGGATACATCATGTCCCAAAACATTCTGGCCTTGCCCCATCCGCGGTATGCATCAATGGAACTTGGATCTCTGTAGCATATTTGTGGATATGGCCATTCCGTTTTTATTTTGTCTCCAAACAAATGGTCTTCTTTCTTTTCGTTGTCCAATACAACTACAAGTTTCGCTCGTTCAGGTGGAAAGAAAAGCTTCATAGTGCGAACCAAATTATTTCTATATTCTTGCTCCCAACGCGGACTAGACGTTAATCTCAAGTATAGCACAAACTCAGGGACGCCATTCCAAGGGTTTCCTGACGGAAAATTTCCTCTAAAGATCGGTTGACTTTTCATCTGCATTTTCTTTGAATTTTGCAAAATGGTCACAAGTGCAATGAAAACGGTTGCTATTAGCAATGCGACGTGTAACAACTGCATGTTAGCATCTGTTAGAAAAAAATAAAAACAAAATTTGTCAAAATGTGAAATTTTGTGCAAATGATTTTAACATATATTTGTAGGTATCATCAAAATATAATTAGATGATTTGATATAATTTTGGCAGCTTTCCAATATTATTTAATGATATTCCTATGAAGTAGGAGTTAATTTTCTTTTGCTTTCACAACACTATCCGTCTAGTGGATTAGACGAAGTGGAAGTACATAGCATTTATAAGGACACTGAGAATTGCCTATTGGACACTTAGGAGTGTTAACGATAAGTGTCCAATAAACCCAAGTCTGGTTCTATCGTTAACAGCCAATAGTAGAAAGAAGAATGTTTCAAAAAATTAAACTTTTGCACAATTTACACATTATATAAATATATATTTCGCGAACACCAAGTTTCTAAACTAGTGCTAAAGATACCACCGATTGACTATAAAGCATTGCTTGAGGTATGAATTTCATGAGAAAAAAAACTGTTGCCATTTGTTATAGGTTTTGCTAACTTTGAGTTATACTTGTAAAGATCGGAGCAATATGCCAAAATTAAAAGAAAACGCTTACCTGATCTCAGATTGGATTTAGAACCGATTTTGAACTCTCCAATTTCTAATAAAATCAGGTAAAGCAGAAAAACGTGAATCCGCCTCAACCCAGATGAAGGAATGCTTGCCACGCACGGTCAAATCAGGTAAAGATTTGTATATAAATAGTTATTCACGCTCGATAAAATCAGGTCAAGCTTTGTATAGAAATAGGGTTGAAACCATAGGAACAGAATGGCCGCTTTAATGGCAACTTTAATGACAGCTTCAATGTCTTTAATTGACGCAACAAAATGGAAGCTTCAATGTCTTAAGGCTGGGATAAACTAGGCATTTAATTTACCATTCAAACGAGTTTTGATTGAAATGATTGAAATTCTATGATTCATCGACACGGAGTGAAGGAGGTGTACGAGAGAGAGCTCGGTAGTTCATGCAAACCAGTCTTTAGAGCAGCCATGGATCAATGACAAAATGAAAAAATGTTCGAATGAACTTGGGCGGGTATGCAAAGAAAAAAGGCGGGCTGGGCGTACACCTCCTTCACTCCGTGTCGATGGGTCATAGAATTTCAATCAAACTTCGCTTACATTGGTAAATTCTATTTCATCATCGACTCCGTCGCTAAGGAGGAGTACGAGAATTTAGAGCTGTCATTGAGACATTGTGGTAAAGGTAGGGCACAAAATGTACAGTGCTAATCCTTTTTTGTGCCATTCTAGAGAAACATTTGTGCATTTCCAACATTTTACTTCAATGGACAAAAAATTAAGGAAAATTTTTGCAGAGAAAGGCAAAGAAAAGCTTAAATGATGAAACACACACAAAAAAGATGACGCTCAAATTAAATAAACATCTATTGGGATATAGAATTTATAGACAGATATAGAAAGATATTCGATGCCGTGGAAATATTATTCTTTCAAAACTTCAATATCAGAGTACATTAAAATTTCAGAGCGAAAATTCTTCAAAATAATTTCACCAGTTTCGAATTTGAATCATACAGTTGTATGGTCAAACAACACGGACCGGAAAGTAAATTGAAGACAATTTAACATTAGTTGTTTAACAATTAACATTTACTCTTGTGGTAGTGATTTGGATGAAATCTTTGTTGGCATAGAAGAAGATCTATGTCAAGCTCTAAAATGGTTCGAATCGAACAGCATGGTAGCTAATCAACCTAGGTTCCAGATGATGGTCCTTGGAACCAAAACTGATAAACAGAAATTTTTATTGAAATAAATGGAAATACCTTATACTCATCAGACAGCGTTAAACTTCTATGCGTCACAATCGATGCTGGAATTAAATTTGACCAGCATATCAAAACCCTATGTCATAAGATGAATCAAATTGGAAAGCATTTTCTAGGGCGGCTAACTCCCTAGATATAGGCAAGGCAAAATTACTATACAATTCCTTTCTGTTATCAAATTTCAACTATTATCCTCTCATTTGGATTTTATGTGGAAAGCAATGTAATAAGGAGATAAATCGAGCTAATAAACGTGCAGTACGCGAGCTGTTTTGTGATTATAAATCCACCTTTGAATGACAGAGATATACAAATCATTAAATTATGAGAGTCCTTCATTCATGAGAGAGTTTTACGTACAGAGAGAATTGACTTATAATTTAGGAATGAAAAATACGCTGCAACTTTCGCCTACCAAACGTTATCATTTGGGATAAATTCATTGGCATTCCGGGGGAGCATTTTCTGGGACACCTTGCCTGATACGATAAAAAATGTGGAAAACGTAGCCAAATTTAAAAGAGGCATAAATGCCTAGAATAAAGACAAATGTAGCTGTAAGATATGTAAATAGGTAGATTAATATTGAACTATTTCATTTTTTGTATATAAATATTTGGTATTAATTAGCTTTACATATATATCTATGTATATTAACTATCGCTCAAACCAACTGTAAATAAAGATATCATTTTTATTACCATTATTATTATTATTATTGTTGTGCAATTGCTATTTTTACATTTCTTTATCGTCATCAGTTTTGTCCGTCTAATTGACATACTTCGAAAAGTCAGACGATATTAAAGTTTGATAAACAATATATATTACATCGCTAGTAAATTTCACTCCACAAACACAATTTTGTTTTTTAAGATTCTATATAGTTGAGTTTGGTTTCTTGTGATTCTATATAACCAAGAATTCACAATGGTTGACATACCCTCAAATATTTGGTTTTCTATAATAATGTACTTTATAATTTTGCTTCCAAGTTGAGTTAAAATCTACTTGCTTTTCCGACAAAATAACATTACATTATATATCTATTTGGATAGGAATTTTAAGGAATTTTAAGAAATTTTTAACACTGCACATTTTCAAAATTTTTGAAAATTTTGGTGTTGCCTTTGAAAATTGTTTATGACCGCACCTATCAAACTAACTGTATGTAAATTTCTCGAACTACACCACCTTTCATTCTAGCTTCACAAGAGATTTCAACGAGGGAAAGTGTTCTAGATTTAAAACAGTTTTCGAGAACAAACATCACAAAGAAGAAGATGGAAAAAAAACTAGATAGCTTCTAGATACTGAATTCGATAAAATTTTACAGAGATTTCATAGATCATTGTTACTGTTATGTTCTCCTTTTTATTATTGTGATGCCCTATTATAATCTTTATGTGTTCTTTACTGGTAGTTGCTGCAATTTTACCTTTTAATAACTAAATACTACTAAATGTCTTTTGTTTTTGGTTTTTCACTGCAAAAAATTTACGATTGTGTATCAATGTACATTTACGATTTATCAATGCCCAAATTGGCTACCACTGCACGTTAAAATGAACCCCGCTACAGTTTCTATAATTTCGTTGTGCTGAATCATTGCAAAATACTCAGCTACTGCACATTTCATCTATGATAAATTTATAGCAAACTTAAGAGATCTCAACAGCGACTAAGAAGAAGAAACGCAAAATTTGTTGCCATAAAATGGAAAATAAATAAATATTTTCATAATATGGTACATAGTTGATCTAGAGAAGAAAGTCCAAAAACTTCCATCTTTGAAAAAACATAGTAGCGAACTAGCTCTTTGACGTTTCTGTAATGCTTTTCTTGCTCTTCCATGCACCTTTTGTCCCAAAACCATTGATAGAATTCAAACGAATAAAGATTGTAATGTATCTTTGCCTGGTTCCATTTTTTGCAACTTTCCGGACAGACATCAAATCCAGCTGAGTAACAAAGTCCTTCTTTAATAAAATCTTCGATATATTCCTTTGGAGGGACTTCTGACAGATAGGACTGACCATTTGTTATTGTGTACCTCAGGTGAATTGATGAGCGCGGCATTGGTATCGTCATCTCTGGGGGTACGTTAGTCCGATAATAATCTAGTGACACTTGACTAGCAAGCAAATGTTCTCCTCTCCAGTCACCATTTGGGACCATCTGCAAGCGCCATGAGTACTCATTTCTGTGATAGTACCAAACATAATTGCACATGATACTAAACTGACAAAGACAATGCATTTGACGTGGAGTGTTGTTAAAAACTGAATCAAAATCCATGCTGTGATTTCTTGCAAGGACCTCTCTCATTTCTATCATATGCTCCGTTTTTATCATAACAGGGAAAGTTGACATGCATTGCATAACTTCTTTTTTGCCGAGAAACAACTCTGTTGTTTCAGCCCAACATTGGTACGGAACTTGGCCAATTTTTGCAATAATAATTGGTTTTCCATTGTCAAATAACAACTGTGGTGTTACTAAGGTGCTAAAAAATGTATCAGTATCGACATACCCCACATAAGATACATTGGTACATTTATCGGGATACATCATGTCCCAAAACATTCTGGCCTTGCCCCATCCGCGGTATGCATCAATGGAACTTGGATCTCTGTAGCATATTTGTGGATATGGCCATTCCGTTTTTATTTTGTCTCCAAACAAATGGTCTTCTTTCTTTTCGTTGTCCAATACAACTACAAGTTTCGCTCGTTCAGCTGGAAAGAAAAGCTTCATAGTGCGAACCAAATTATTTCTATATTCTTGCTCCCAACGCGGACTAGAAGTTAATCTCAAGTATAGCACAAACTCAGGGACGCCATTCCAAGGGTTTCTTGACGGAAAAATTCCTCTAAAGATCGGTTGACTTTTCATCTGCATTTTCTTTGAATTTTGTAAAATGATCTCAAGTGCAATGAAAACGGTTGCTATTAGCAATACGACGTGTAACAACTGCATGTTAGCATCTGTTAGAGAAAATAAAGACAAAATTTGTTAAAATGTGAAAATTTGTGCAAATGATTTTAAGATATATTTGTAGATATCATCAAAATATAATTATATGATTTGAAATAATTTTGGCAGCTTTCCAATATTATTTAATGGTATGCCTATGCAGTAGGAATTAATTTCCCTCTACTTATACAAGACTCTCCGTCTAGTGGATTAGACGAAGTGGAAACACATAGCATTTATAAGGAAACTGAGAATTGCCTATTGGACACTTAATGTAAACACTAGGTATCTGCTTGGGTCCTTCAGGTGTTTGGGACAAGAGTTTTCTGTATCATTCTAAAATTTATGGTTTTATAAAAGCCTTTAGTACATTGATTATTAGGACCAGTGAACTGCAAGAAAATAAATGTCAAAGTTGAAGAAAGATATTAAGAATATAGACTTTAAGCGAATACGAATAAAGGATAAAGAAGACACGATATTTTTGTTTTTGTTATATAGTCAAAGTTGACAGAAAAGGGATTTTTTAGGATTATTGAGTAATAACCTTTAATTTGCATCGTTTGTTGTTCTGATTTTAATGCTTTAAAGGCAAAATATTTTTCATCTTCTACATTCTTACGGTTGATAGAGCTGAGCTAATGCTTTTGGTATTGTCGATTGTCCTTTTTGAAGAAGTAACATAACACTTATGTATAGTTGCTTATTAATGTCAAATATAGATTACATTATTTCTTTTTGCAACATTCGTCGAAGCTATGAAAAAAGGGACCTGCATTAGCTTTAAAATCTTTGAACCAAGCCAATTTAACAGTTTTCTAGTTATCAAACTTCAAATGGCCGTATCGCATAAAATATGCAAAAGATTTAACTTGTTTTCCACATTTAGAGACATTTTAACGTGTTGTTTCTGCCTGTGCAATAGTACAATAGTTTATTCGTTCAAAATTGAAAATTCAGAAAAAACAATTTTGTTATAATGTCATCCTTTTGCGCCTCTGTTGCTCAAGTCTGGTTCTATCGTTAAGGTTACGGTAGACGTTTTGAACACGAAAATTGGTTTTCCTTCCCAAAGGCCAAACGGCTCAAGGAATCTGGATAAACTATATATCATTCGATGCACAAGATTATGGCGTATCTAGCCAAATAAAAATTATTGGCAAATAATGTTAAATGCTATTTTCCATGCGAATTTGCTGGTCAAAAAGTGTACCACCTTCAAAAGCTATTATGTACCCTTGCGTTTAAGGTAACAAAATCTGACTTAGACCAGCAGGAAGTGCAGGTCCTAATCTACCAAAAGGTGTCTCAGATTTTTTAAATTCCTCCTCTTCTTGAAACTATACCCTGTCAAAAATTGGCAAATAATTTTTCCACCCTCCCGCAGCGGTATTTGGGTATAAAAGACGGACCAGAGAAAATAAAAAAAATTTGAGACACGCTTTGTTTGCCCAACGTCTGCCCTGGCCGTGTGCAAATTTTCAAGCCATTCGATTGGTTCCTTGGGTACATAATAGCTTTTTCGTACCTGCATGTAGAGGAATTTCGAGTCTGGAGAAAACGGGATTTTACTGATCGCACTTGCAAGATACACTCGTAAACCACAGTGTAATCCGGGTCAAGTCACTTGAAGATTTAAGATCAATAAGCCTGTTTAAATAGACACGGCCGTACATTGGATATATAGATGTGCCATGCGATATTGTAAATGAGAAATGCGACCACAACCGCAAAGCAACGATAATCGGCTTAACAGGTCAAGAGATTTTCAGGCCTCAACTAAAAGTTTTGATAAAGAAATTATGGAAACCTTCGCTTACATGGGATTTTTTCCACTTTCAAAATTTCTGTTTGTTTCAAATTTGGTATCATTGTGTGCCTTGAAAGTTCGGCTACTTGAATGTGAAATAATCGAAAAAATGATGTTTTCATCCAGAAAACGTTACATTAACAGAAACATATAAAACAGCTTGTCAAGGCCAATATTAGAAAGAAGAATGTTTCAAAAAACTAAACTTTTGCACAAATTACACTTTATATAAATACATATTCCGCGAACACCAAGTTTCTAAACTAGTGCTAAAGACATCACTTCTTCCTTCTATTCCAGTGATGTTGTCACTATGGATCACGGATCAAAACTTCTTGGGCATTGGTAAACGTCGCCAAAGGTGACTTGCATTTGGAGACGCTCAGCAATTCATATTCGAATTAAACAGAAAAAAACGTTCAAAAATACCGAGGAAAATGGCACATGAAGCAAATTTACTTATAATATCTACACTCAGTGAGCAGAAGTATTGCACAGGCTGAGACAGAAAGTAAGAAAGAAGGTGCTCGTAGAAAACGACAACATAATAAATGACGACAAGAAGATTTGTGAAATTTTCAATTCTTATTTTGTAAACATAACCGACACACTACCTATCACAGCACCGCCAGAGTCTGACGTTGAAATCAATTCGTCAACTGATCATGTGCTGTATTCGATTCAGAAATACAGGAGCCACCCTAGTATTATCAGAATTAAGGAGAATGTTGGTATTATTGACGAATTTGAATTTGATTTTGTTGCACCTTTTGATGTTTGGACTGAAATCAACCAGCTTAGTAGTTCAAAAAATCTATTGGGGAGATACCTACGGACATTTGATATTACTCTCAGATTTGTGTATTGATCAAATTACATTGTATATTAACAATATGTTCGAATATAGCTAATTTCCTGACCAACTAGAAATGGTTGATGTATCACCTATCTTCAAAGCGAACGATTCTACATTGAAACTTAACTTTAGGCCTACAAGTGTCCTTCAAGCCATTTCTAA